CCATCGCTGGGTATGACGCACCAGGACTCTTGCCCTTCCATGTTCTTTGGCATGCATTAACTCTGAAAGACAGGGAATCTTGTGCCCTGCTTCACACTAAGAAGCACCAAAGCACTATTGCTTTGCTTTGCTTTCCTTGCGTGAATATGGGGAGAGTAAAGTTTTACCTGCTGACTTCAACTTTTAGTTACTTTTTGGACAAAAGTTCCCAGAATCGTATACCCAGCATATGGCCATTGGCCCCCACCCCAGTAACTTTTCCAAGTTATGTTGCCTCCATTGCCTCCAAGGAGAAGATCTTCATGATGTCCAATGAAGGTGGAACTCTGGTGGTTCAAGGTTCTAATTTGCATAGGGAGACAGGAAAAAAAACAGCCAAATGACATATCCTTCTCTCTCATGACCCGAATTACCTACAGATACTGTCATATGGGTTGGCTGACAGTTGCTGCCACTTTGCAGCAGGTGTTGTAGAAGGTGTGAAGTCACAAGAAAGATTTGTGATGTTCCTGACCTATTCCAGAGCCCAGAATGGAACAAGGTATCAACCCAATCCTGAGTTCTCTGCCTCTGCTGGAGGGCACACCTGTTGTAGCAGTGGAAATCAGTGTGGAGGCCAAACATCCGTGGCCATCCTTATGGCCAATTGCTTTCCATAGTTAACTCTTTTCATATGAAGCATGTTTGTCACAAGCCCTAAAACCAGGGTTTAATTTGATGATGCTGTTCCATTCACTAAAGTCAGTAGCCTGCTCTTTTCTGGCAGAGGTTGAGTTTTCCTACAAAGCTTTGAACTATCAAAGAGCAGAAGGAGCTGGATAGTGTGCTGCATTTTGAAACACAACATTAATTTTGAGTTTTTAAAATCATATTGCATGTAAAAGTTGTGGGCCCGAGAAGCCTTAATATTGTAATTAGGATTATGATCATGTCTTTAGTATTGTCAGTTTTTAATTATAGGCACACATATGTCTCTTAATACCAGGGACGTGGTGGCGCTGCGGGTTAAACCGCTGAAGCCTCTGTGCTGCAAGGTCAGAAGACCTGCAGTTATAAGATCGAATCCATGCGATGGAGTGAGCCCCCGTCGCTTGTCCCAGCTCCCACCAACCTAGTAGTTCAAAAGCATGCAAAATGCAAAAATGCGAGTAGATAGATAAATAGGTACCACCTCGGTGGGAAGGTAAACAGCGTTCCGTGTCTAGTCACGCTGTCCACGTGACCACGGAGGATTGTCTGCGGACAAAACGCTAGCTCTGTGGGTTGGAAACAGATGAGCACCGCCACCTAGAGTCGGACATGACTGGACAAATTGTCAAGGGGAACCTTCACCTATGTCTCTTAAATGTTACAGTTGAAAATGGCTTAAGAATTTGATGTAAAGCATCCAAACAGGACTTTATGTGGTCATATTGTTTACACATGGGCAGACAGCAATTAACCTGTGAGAAAATTTTGAATTGATTTGTTTCAACCATGGTGGATTTGATTTGAATCATGATGCAATTTGATGCAAAAAGAAATGATTGTTATCCACCTTCCTTTCAACACAATACTGTATTGCTACAGGCACTATCATTTTGGTTGAGACATGAGACAATCATAAACTTTTCTCAAAGTTAAAAGAATTTTGTGTTATAATAAAACCCTAGTTTTGATAGATACAGATATATAAAAATCAGGGTTGTGTTAAAAAAGAAAAATGTGTGGGATCAAGGTATTCCATACCAATGTTGTTGGGCAAGACCAGTGTTATGTAAGGTGTCTACAGCATAATGCTATAGACATAAGAGTGTCTCTTTTTTGCCATTTAAAATACTGTGTCTTTGTCAAGAGGAAATATTACACTAGAGTTTAAACCAGTAAAGGTCAAAGGTTATTTGTTTTCAGTGAGCTGTAACTGATGGTCTGATCTGCTTAGAGGTAGGATTAACCTCCCCTCCCCCAGAAGAGAGTTGCAAGAATTGTTTGCTTGCGTTTTTTAATCTTCTTTTACCTCTCCCCCCTCCAATGCCATGTGGGTAGGGAAGGTTCTTGTGGCAGTGGAAGGCGCTGAAAAGCTGGTAGATCACACAAGAAGCTTCTGAATGAAGGCAGAATTGAAACAGGAAAATAAAGAAAACAGCAGGCAGGTCACCATCTCAGGAAAACAACATTCATTCTCAGTCATGCACATCCTAACACTTTTGACGGCAATTTATCATGGAAGACTGAGTTCACCGCCAGGGCTAGGGCATGTCATAGGTTAAGTCAGAAAAGGCAATCCCCAAAAGGAAACTTCAAAGTTCTCTAAGGCACAGAGTTAAACATGTTGAGAAAAAGCTTTTACAATGTTTGTTAGAAAGACAGGAGGTAAACAGCGAGCCAGAGGAATTTCAGCACACCATTGTGGGGTTGTTTGTTTTGCCTGTTTAAGGTGGCTTTCCCCACAGCGGCTGCACTCTGGGCACTGGAATACATGTGCTGGTGATCTCTCAGGTCCCTTCCCGTTTCTAACATCTAGTTGGTATGCTTGTTCTTATCCGGACAAATTCCAAGAAGAGAAGCCATGGTCGTCTGGAAGAAGAAGGAGAGATCTGTGGCACCAAAAATTCCTGCCACAATAGATTTGTTACTCTTCAGAATGTCAGGCCCTTTCTTCTTTTTCTGTGAAGTCACATGGCATTTTTTCTTGTAGACTGTTTAGCCCAATATTAAGTAATTGTGTACACTCAGGATATATTATGATACACTTGCTAGGATTTTTAAAAACCAATTAAAAACATGGATGTTCATGCAGGCCTTCCCCTCCAGTTAATATCTGATTCTTTTCTTTTTTCTTCTTCTTTTGTGATTTTTTAAAAAAATTTCATCTTGACGAACTAGCTATTTAATGTAATAATTCTTTTTTATATTTATTGGTTTGTCTTATGTGTTTGTAAGCTGCCTAGAGTGGTCGCAAGACCAGATAGGCGAGATATAAATAGAATAAATAAATAAAATAAATAGGATCTTTGGCATTAGGAAAGTTTGCTGTATTTTTGGAGTAAAGTAACAGTTAAGGCAGCTGTATTGATTCTACATGCATTCAGGAAAACAGTGTGGTCTGCAAGCTTTAAACTCAAATTCTACCTGTGCATGTTTTCTGGCAATTAGAAATCAATTAGTTGTGCTGTTTTATTAACAAATGATTATGATGATGGATTAAATAAGAACACTTGCCTTATTTGCATAAAAATCTGTATGTTTCTAATCTGTATTATAGGTATGAAGAAGGCTGTTTAATAGCTACTAAATGGGAATTTTAAGAAAAAGTTGCAGAAGAGTCTAGTGTATTTAGTACCCTGGTTTTTAGGATACCTTCACCTTGTTTCTTCACCCTTTTCCTGCCAAAAAAAGAGAATGAGTACAAGGCAGATTAGAATTCTGCTGGTGGATCACTGGATGATTTGCAGCAGATTAGAAAGATTTTTGACTTTGGATTCCTAACAGTAGCATGAATTTCTAAACTAGGTTAATCTTTAGTGGTTCACATGTAGTGTGGTATCTATATATAAAGGTCATCCCAGTGTATGGTTTATCGGGTCCAATAAACTGCTTCACCTGCCATATTGCCTCTTCCCACTGGCAGCTGGTTGACTATCTTGGAAAAGAGAGATCTGAGCTAGATAGGTCTTCAGTCCTGCACAGTATGGCTCTTCTTAGGCTGGTCTATGATGGTTCAACTTGCACAGAGAGGACCCAAGTGAAAGGTCTTCCTCATTGTGTAGGACAGTTGTGAACAGAGGAGCTCATGCGCCAGAAACAAAAAAAAGGGGAAGGGACTGATTAAACCAATGGTAGAGCTCTAGAATATTAGTGGAATAGCTGCAGCACAACAATATATTCCCTTTGGACTATCTGATCAGGATACAAAAATATAGCTATATATTGTTCCACTTTTCAAAGGCATTGCACATATAGGTATTATTTATACTGTATAGTTATTCAGTATGGGGCCATCTGTCTGATGGACTGTAGATATATCTTACCCACCACCACTGATTCATTTTTATGTTTCCCTACCTATTGAGTTTCTCTAGCAATGTCAACGGAGGAGGAATGTTTCCCCCCTTTCAATCAAGGCATGACTCCCCACATGGAAATGGGGAGTGTGCCTTGTTTATATGTCTAATTGCATTCAAGGAACTCAGCTTATCCACCCTGATGTAATGCATTTATAAACCATTCTGCAGCCAAATTGCATTCCATGGTAGTTTGCAATAATACAAAGAAAAACACTCCAATAGTATGATCAATCAAAAGAGCAAATTGGAGTGAACTATCAGATGATGATACCAGCCCATGGGAAGGTTGATACAGGCTGCCCAGTTGCTCCTCTAGTTTTGTGCATGTAACCACTGTTAGCAGCACCACATAAAAACAAGGTTAGGAGTTGGTCATGCAGAGCTGCCATAACTTCCTTCTCTATGAATTAATATTTGCCACCAGGTTTCAAGAGAGTTACTCTGCATATAGGTTCCCTTCCCCTGCAGCTTCCTATGTACCCTCAAAGTCAGCTCTGGTATCCTGGAAAGCACGGCAAGAGGATATTTTTGGACAGCTCAGAGGACTTTCAGGAAAGCAGTGGGAGAATGCATTGTTCTGCTGGCCACTTAGGGATTTAGGCCTGTGCTTCTATTGCACAAATAGATCCTTTGAGTTTGAGAAGGCCATGGCAATCACTGATCACACAAACTCGGTGAGAGAAGTTATTTTCTGTGGATTAAGTTAGTCTTTGATGTATCCATTCCCTTGAACTAGCTCAGAAGCTCTCCGACTCCTCTTTCAGAGGTTTTTTAACAGAAGGCAAATGGACCATTGGTCAGAGATGCTTTTAGCTGTGGCTTTCTTGTACTAGCGGGGAAATGGATGACTCTTGAGGTCTCTTCTGTTTTTCCAGTTCTATGACTCTATGACATAAGGGTCTTATTCTGTATTTTCTAAAGAGCTTTTTCCCTGCTTTTCTTAAACTTCCTCAGGATTGTTTACGAGCCTGCCAAGAACAGATTGAGTCCCTCCTTGAATCTAGTCTACGCCAGGCCCAACAACACAACATATCTTCAGAAACAAAGACTGTTGAAGATGAAGCTGATCTTTCCTGCACACCCACTGATGTTAGAGATGTGAATATTTAAGGAGGACCTTCGTTGGATTTGCTTGGCAGTACCGGCAAATGACAAAAGGGCATCTGAGAAGGAATCGGAATCAAGATCTTCTCCCCTATGAAAACCTTTTCTCCAGGACTTTTTATACCAGAAGGGAAAACGTTATTCATTCTTTTCTTCATTATTCCTTCCTTCCATTTGTGACTTTAACAAGGTGACCCCCACCCCATCCCCCAACTGTCTTAAAAAAGAAAAAAATAGTATTTGCATGATCTCAAGGGGTTTGAGCTACAAAAATAGAAGATTTTATACAGTAATAATCAATTAGGGTTATATATATATCTATATCTATATATAGATATATATAGGTATCTTAAAGTTTTTTTTGTCTGTATGTTGTAAGAATAGGCATTAACATTCACAGAGAGACACACAAACATGCATGCATGCATACAAGCAATGTCTCCAGGGGAGGTGTTAAAATATGATCCTTGCATTTTAAAAGAAGCCAACCATTTTTAAAGTAGAAGAGGGTGTTTTTTTTAGATAGATTATGTGTTTTGGTGTGTGTGTGTTTTTCCTTTAAAAAGCATAGCTTTAATGCAGTTCTAGGCTTTTCTGTATCTTGCTTGCTTATGCATTTAGTCACTTTATAAGTCATCTGTAAATGTTTATTTTATTCCCTTTAGGTTTTTATCCTCTTCACCTTATAAATGGTTAATGTAATCTTTACATTAGTATATCTTAGTATACAACAGCATTATTATATGTTAATCTTCTGTGCCTGTGGATTGCCTGTGCATGAGGCTTCTAGGGGTGCCACCTTAGCATGGCCACACAAAGGCCCAACGTACTGTTCCAACAATAAAGAAAATTTGCAATAGTGACATAATATATTTTTGTAACCTTCCTATTTTTGTAGTTACCTGTGTATACAAAAACATACTAGTTTTTACCCAAAAGATACACAGCCTAATTATGTCCAGGTTGAATCCACGGCTTATCTTTTTTTAAAAAAATTGTTTTAAAACCATTCCATTTCAAAGCACTTTCAGTTCACTAGGTATAGGAAATACTTCCTTTTTGTGTGTGGGAATTTTTTTTCTTCAAATGGAATGGTTTGGAAATTATATACATATAAATATATGAATATATATATATATAAAGTGCTTGTGTGCAAACATGGAATTGCAAAGCAAGTGCGTTTTAACTATGGTGTTGAGGAAAGGTATGTTTTGGTTTTTTCCTGAAGGTTGTGTTCCAGTCAGAGAAACTGCATTTACAGATTGCCAGGATATTTTCCTAATCTTTCAACAGAAAAGTCATTTAGAAATCTTTGGTGCCAATTCATTCCTTAAAATATAAAGTTAGGGACCTGAAAGGTTTACCTACAGGACACAGGTTTTGAGAATTGTCTCTAGATGTTTTACAACTGAAGGCTTTTAAACACTAAAATATATAATTTATAGTTAAGGCTAAAAAGAATATTTATTTCAGAGGATGTTCAGAAAGGCCAGTATAATTTGTAAAATAAATTATCCCATTGATTCCAAGAAAACAACATAAATCTTTCTGCCCTTGATGTAGTTTAAATTGCTCATACTAAGAAACAAAAGCATTTCAAGAGAATGCTACATTGATACAGAGATCTCCAGTGTAATGTTAACCATGAGAAAGCACCATAGTTAAAAGTGTAGAATTGGTGTACTTGAAAAAAAAAGTTCTTAAACCAGTATATTTCCCTGTTGTTGTTTTTTAAAAATTCTAGCTACAAATAGAAAATTTGCACATCTTGGCTATGTATCTTTCTTTATTATTATTGTAGAAAGTAGCTGAAGGGACATGGACATAGCTGTTGAAGTTGATGCTTGAGGAGAATGTGATGGCAAAATGTATGTGAGAAACTGCCGCTAAGGTGTTGATTGTACAAAAAAAAGTTTTTAAAAGGAAAAAAAAAGAGGAGCAGATGCTCTCATTTTTTTTTTATCAAGCTGCTATGGATAAATTCCCAGCATGAATTGAAAAAAAAATTAACATTGCTTTTCTGTATCTTTGTCATTGTGTTTTGCTGCTATTTTGTGGTCATTTTTTTGTTTATACAATGTCATATACTGCCATGTTATAGGTTTTAAATTTTCTCATAGAAAATTATATTATTGACATCATTTTTTTGGTAGATTTTTTTTATGTGATCAGTTTTACTTAATGTGATTACTGCTCTATTCCAAAAAAAGGTTCCTGTTCCACAATACCTCATACTTCAGTTAACCGTGTTTAGATCAGGTTTTAATGTCTGTTCACAATGCCTCATACTCATAGTTCTACTGCAAACCGAAATGCATCGGACATTATTCTGAATGGGTCTCGCGATCAGCAACTAGTTTATGCTAATTTTAAAACAGCAGTCATTTCAGAAGATTGAGTAATGTCAGGTTCTTTTGTTATGTGTGTGTGTGTGGTTTTTTTTTTTTTAATAAAGTGGATTCTTTTTCTGATCTGGGGTTTATTATCATAGTAGTTTTAAGCTGTGTTATTAGCCACATTTGATATATGAAAGGTGCATTCTAATATAACTCTTATATGCCCTTTGATGTTTTCCATCAACAGGGAATCATCATGCGGTATGATAGGTTATCTTCTGGAATTTTAAGTATTTTGTGTGTTTAATCTGTTATGATATATTTAGGGGTTTTTGTTGTTCATGATGTTAATTATAGCATAATGCTAATTTAAAAAAAAAAGCAACAACCTGTAAATCTCATAAGTAAGTCAGCTAACAAGAGTTGTATGGTGAAGAATAATCTAGTTGCCTGTATGCTGCTAAACCAAAACAGAATTAGAAATTCATTTTGAGGCAAATGCAGTTAAGATCCTACCTAAGTTCATTCAAATAGAAAAGACAACAGCCTTTGTGAGGCTACTGGCAGTCGCAGGACCCAAGAGGACTGGCTTCGTTCTGTCCAAATTTCAGGAACATTTCTTACTGCTTACCTCATAGACACTTCTGTTTGTGGCATCTCTGTGTCTCTGAACCAAACAAGATTATTAAGTTAGTGGTTGTTGGTTATATTAGGTGTTTTCACTGAGAAGCGGCAGTGTGTACTGAAAATGTTAAGTATTGTACTGAAAAGGCCAAATGCTGATAAGCGGGTTCACGTGCCAACAGAGATGCTTTATTTGTCACATTGTTATAACGATCTATAGAAAGCAAAGCAATCCAGATCTGTACTTTATATATATCTATATGTAGGTATATATAAATATATATATAGTACTTATTGGCATCACTGGTCTGAAATGCACATTGTCACCAACAGACCTGTAACGGATAAGTTTCCAGCAAAAGAAGAAAAAAAACACCCTCCCCCTAAAAGTCTAGAAATAAAATTGTAAAA